TGTTGGTTTAGATGCAGTTATAAGTTTATTTAGCTCTTCCTGTCCTATAGCTGTAAAGCACTGCAGTTTATCTTTTTGTGCGATGAATGAAGCTAAAGTATTATACGCTGTAGAATCTACATTTGTTATTGTATTTCTGATGTTATCTATTTTATCAGTGAAGAAATTCATAAAGTCATTACTATTAAACTGTGCGGGAATATTTAGATCGGGTGGCGTCTGGTTATTTGTTAATCTAGTCACTGTGCTAAATACAAACCTTGGATTGTTTTGGTTATTTTCTATGAGTTTGTGGATATGCTCGGCCCTGGCAGCTTTTAGAGCCTGTCTATAGCTGGACATACTGTTTTTCCACGCAATTCTAAAAACTTCCAAGTTAGTTTTTCTCCATTTGCGCTCAAGACTACGAGTTTCTTTCTTGAGAGAATGGTTATTACTGTTGTACCATGGCGCAGTATGTTTTTCTCTAACCTTTTTCAATTTGATGGGGGCAACAGCTTCTAATGTATTAGAGAAGATAGTGCCCATGTTGCTAGTTATTTCGTCTAGTTCATGTGTACTTATTGGTACACAGAGCAGTTGAGATAAATCGGGCAGGTTATTTGTGAATCTGTCTTTGGTGGCTGGAACAATAGTTCTGCCCGGACGATAACGTGGAGCCATATAGTTAATATTAGTAATACGCAGCATGCACGATACAAGGAAATGTTCAGTAACCATCACTTTGGAGGTAGATATCTATATCAGTAAGATCAATTCCATGCGATATAATTAAATCTAGCGTATGATTAAAACGATGAGTGGGCCCGGTGACGTTTTGCTTGACTCCAAAAGAGTTTATTAGGTCAGTAAACGCAAGTCCTAATGCATCATTTGTATTATCAAAGCAGTGAGCAGGAGAAATGACTGTTTGTTGGTCATTTGCATGTCGGTCAGAGCACCTCTCACAACAAGGCACTTCTCGTTGCAGGTTAGTCTGGCTTGTGTCATTAATCTGTCAAACTGGAAACGTTAGCAGCTGACAGGGTTTTTCCACTGCTGGAAATAAAAGCAGAAGACATGGAAATATAAAACTGATTTGATAAGGCCCTAAAAATGTAGTTTTTGTTGCATTTTCAATTAATTGTTACATTTTAAACAAGTTTAATTAATTATTTAGACATTACTGAAATTTAGTTTACCCATTAAAACTGAATTTTTTTTAATTAAAAAAATTGCAACCAAGACCAATTAAAATGGAATTTGGGTGAAAATAAAACCGATTTCATGCAGAAATGATCTAGACTGAAATTCTTTGTTCATCCTGTTATTAGATTCTGCCGTGAATCAGGCCACGTTATATACTGTCATTATTAGTCATAGAATAGTGTTTGGCTTGATAAGCTTTAATCACCACTAATCACAATGTGTGCTAACAAATTCTTCCATTTATTAGATCCCCACCTTCAGCAGGGTTATTCATCATGGGTTAAAGGTTGTGGAGGGGAAAAATATTAATAAAGTGCTGGCAAGTCATTAGGCGTGTAATACAGTATGTCCTGAAGCCACCGGCCATCAATAAACACAACATATGAATCCCATCAACACTCAGTCATTTGGTCAAGGACACGAGCTTCATGTGCCCTTAAGCGGAACGAATATCCTGAAGAAATGCGCTGGTGTGGAGTGAAGAGAGATCTGTATCCTCGCTGAAGATATGACCCGTTTCTCCTGTACTTTTGTCCTCTGCATGAAACGCTCCCATCGAACGCCTCTAACAGCCGTCAATACGGCCCCCGGCTCCTGCACTCGCATCGAACCACTGCTAGCTTTTTCCACACAGTCAGATCCAGCGCTTTGTGTGCCGGACAGGATGCTGTGAACTCCTCACATTGGCATTGTGAAGTCTGTGTGTGGATGTGGCTGTCTCCGTCATGGCATTGTTTCTGTGGAGGACAGACACTTCCTGTGTTTGAGCTTTCACAGACACAAGGACAGCTGACTGTGCTGCTGGACTCTTTTCATGCTTACAGTTCATTTTAATTAGCATCAGCCACTTGTACATCATAATGTTGGGTTGTATCTCCCATCAGACTACTGCGTTATTAAAAATAAACAACTATGACATGAGAGACTTTTACTTGAAGTTAACAGCGCTCTGGTCTTGAGTGAATCTTCATTGCATGTTACTCTATTCTCAGTCAGACGTATTCATGCGTGTGTTTATCTGCGATTGCAGGAGCCGTTCGAGGATGGCTTTGCTAACGGCGAGGAGCTGACCCCTGCAGAGGAGGCCGCAGCTAAAGAAGCCTCCGAGTCTAAAGGAGTGGTGAAGTTCGGCTGGATCAAAGGAGTGCTGGTAAGAGGAGTTAACATCAGATCAGCAATCAAACATGCTTCAGCAGAAGGCAGCGCAGTGGCTGATGTACGAACCTCAGGATGGAGAACCTCAATTGTGGCACCCACACTAAATCAAAAATGGGAATGTGGGCGAAGAGTGAGATCTTTCTGCTGTGGGTGATAATTGGGTTTTTTGTTAGTTTGCTATATCTGCTGCCTGTAGAGACTCCTATTAGAGGCTGCATGCTAAACTGTCGTGCTCTTGTAATGTTTAATATGCTAATACTCTCAACAAGCCGTGGCTTTGCTCAGTGCAGACCGTCTTCCTCGCTGACACGTGTGAATCCAGTAAAAGCTTTATGGGTCACAGATCAGCTCTGCTTCTCGTCTCTTGGTCAATATTTTGACAGGTCTTCCTTGTCCTTAAAATTGTCCTCATTTTCACCTTCCCAGTCTTAACATTTGACACCAAACAGCTTCTCATAGTGTCGACAAGTGAAAATTCATTTTCATCCAAAGGGTCTTTCAAACCACGGCAGGAACTCAGTCAATGTTTGAAACCGGTTTGTGTTCAAATGCGTTTGAAGGACTGATCTGGGTTCTCTGTCGGCAGGCTTTGTGGTGTAATGTCCGTTAACTCGGAAGGAAATTTCAGCTCTTCCCTCAGTAACACCCCCCCCCCCCCCCCCCCACAAACACCCAACAAAAAAAAACACAACACCAAAA